CACGATTGTCAGTGTCTACAGCTGTTCCTGCAGAGGTAGCGGATCATGAGGAGTTCTCGGGTGGCGAGGAAGCAACGGAATTTGATGGAGCAGCGTAGAGTGTCACTATATCTGAATAGTCTTTGGGCTATGTGTGCTAGGCCCGTTTGTTTTGTCGTTATGCGGACAAAACTACCGGAATAGTATGTTCGATCATTTATGCGTACAATATTCTGCCTGTGGGACATTGCATCCTGTATGCGCACATGAAGCTCGTGATTTGAGGTTTGATCAATAGTGCGGACAAAACTCTTCTGGATATATCTCTGATCCCATACTCGTACAATAGCCTCGCAAATCAACCTCCGATCAAAAACGAGTACAGAAATCGTCTGAAAAGGTGCCACCCGATCCGTGTGCGTACAAGTTGAACCAAAATTTGTCCGGACAAAAAGGGCCATTTCGGGCCATTTCGGATCGGACCTCCATAGGCATATGCCATGCGCCTGCGAACAGTGACCTCGGCAGGCGCTTGCGCAAAATAATTATTTTTGCAAGCACCTACGTTGTTTTCTGAACCATTTACGGGTCCCGTCACGCTCACGCACGGTTTCTGAACCGTGACCCGGGCGAACTTACTGATGGGTGACGTACATTTTTGATGAACCTTTGGTCGAAAAAGTACAGTATATGTAAATGCTGTTAAGCCCGAACATGGCCTCCACCACTGGCACAGCGCCCGATTCCGATTCCGATTCCGATTCCGGTTCAGGCTTTGTTCCGCAACAATGGAATTACTTACCGTGTCGGGAGCCTGAGTGACATGACATAAATCTTCGAAATTTCAAGGCGTGCTGGGACTCAGTGGATCGGGATCGAGTTCTCTACAATAGAGCCCTTCGTGACTGAGAGGGATGGGCTTTGAGCAGGACGACTGTGAGAGATCTGTGGTGGTCTGCGATATCCTGTGCGAAGCCTGAGGGAGTGAATACGGTGGGGGTATATCAAAATGGGCGGTGCGGCAAGATGGTGAAGGATATGAAAGAGAAAGAAGGACAGAGGCCGCACCACGAACGAAACCGGGAAAATATCCCGGCGCCCAGTACGAGAATATATCTGGTTCAGGATTCGAGGCGTTCGACTGCGTGGTGATGGCCACGAAAGAAGGTCCAAATGAATACACATTCTGATGGCCAGATTCAATCCAGTAGGCGAGGCACGGGTCTTCGGCGGGGTCTGAGAGGAATGTGCAGCCGTTCAGGAGAGATGTGTTTTGTTTAAGCTCCCAGATGGCTGTTACTTCGTCGTGATCTGGAGAATAGGGAAGAAAACATGACGGAGTGAGATGGGTGTTAGTGAAACGATGAAAGGAGGGAGGAACCTTGGAGGTTCTTCCCGACTCCCGGCAAGTCTACCACAGTTTCGATCCCAAACAGGCTCAACTGTTGACGATCTCCTATTCCGGAGAGCTAACCGTAGGGTCAGATCGCAACGTGCCAAGAGTTCGATTCTCATCAAACCTACCATAAGCTATTTGACCAACACGTGAGCAAAGGGGGGGAAAGTCATACAACATAAAGCGTGCGTACGAGCTGTGGGCTTTGGAATGTCCCTGCGCTTACAATAACCTCATGTCTCGCGGTGATATTCCTTGTCTGAAACTCCTGCGTCCCACCAGTGGCATTGAAATTACTCGCAACCGGCAACCCTGCCCCTTCAGCAACCTGAACGCCATATGCCCTCACCGCCGTCGTCCCATTCCTAGCCGCCCCCAACTCGTTACAGATTAATACCTTAGTTGCCAGAGTATCAAGGAGGAATTGGAGAGATCCAGAGAGCGTGGCCTCGGACTGCACGTCGATAAGGCGATTATAGACAGAGGACCGGTTGTGGACTTCGTCGACTGTGAAAACGACGTTTGAGACCCCGGCGGCTTCGACGGAGGCGCGGGCGTTGGCATCGAGGATGGGAGGACCCGCGATCGTAAGGGATGCCACGATGTCAATGAGTTCTAGATCTGGTTTGAAGGTATACATTAGCGGTGGATCGAGCTACATGCATGTAACATATATGAAGATCACGTCGTACCTAGGAACATAGGGTTCAAGATGACAAGGTCGGGGTTCACATTTGTCGAGAGCCATCCAGAATAACCGTGGTCTGGACTGAGTGGGAGATATAGGTTTCGCTCGATGAGGGTGAAGTATTGCCGCATCGATTCGTACGACCAGGTAGGAGCGTTGAACATAGCGGCTAGGTTGTCGAAGTCACTTTTGGTATTGGCGATAAAGTTGATGAGGGCGTTATGAAGCTGCAAACATGAGTGTTTAGACCGATTAAGTTTGAAAGCGATGGAAAAGCAGACCGTTGAACCGCCCACGCCACGCGCTCTTGGGTACCTATCGAGAGGACGTTGGAGCAGACGTGAGTTGAGAAAGCGGCCTGACGAACCAAACATCGTTTTTCTGGAATCGAAAGTCGGGTGGGTATTCGTCGAGGGTATAGTTCAACTCTAGTTGAGGATCTGCGGAGATAAATGAAGGTTCTTAGGAAGATGTCCTCCTGCCTAACAATCCCAGTTGTAAACGTGCCGTCCGAAGCCCGGCCAAACATCAAAGGGATAGTAGTGTTGACATTGTAGACTTTATGCCCTGCGTCCACAACCAGAACTAGACAGAGCCACAATCAGTTCTTTTGCATAGATGAAGGCCTGTTAGAGGTTGCTTCACCTGAAAAACCAGCCTCCGCGAGACGAGCGGCCACTGGACCACCGCCAGCACCTGCACCGACGACGATGTAATCGTAGTCAACGGCGTTTTGGTCGGAACAAGAGGGCAGCGACAAAGCCGCGGAGAGCATATAAAGCAGAACGAGTGAAAGGACCGTTATATGGTTAAAGAGCATCAGGAAAGAGAGGTAGAATTTTAGGAAAGGACGAAGGACAGGGCACAGAGATAGATGTTTTATGGTTCATGAAGGTAGCTCTGCGCTCATGCTTCGTTGATGTCAAGGGTTGTAGACAGGAATAGAAAGAAGATAAGTCAATGACCATGACTTGAGAACAGCATGCTAGCGTTGACTTCTGGGGAAAGAACCTTTTCACCTGAGCATGATGAAGAAAGCGAAGTCCGGACAAGACTTAGAAGATGGGTCAGATGGTATGGCCTGAGAACTGGCATCAATAGAGGAAACATCATACTGTTCGAAAGGCGCGCACAAGCATCAGGCTTTGGCAGTCGAATAGAATGCTGTCGAAGCCGTCGCAACCGCCAGAGAGAAATCGTCTGATCTTGGCGGATACTTTCAATGAGTCAGTGCATTGTCATCCTTGAGAACCTGTCAGAGTTGTGAAACTGGGCAGCATGCTCTAAATTGGCCGAGCTTCCGCTTCAAGCTAACGTGGGCAGAGGAGTGAGATCACGACAAGAAGATATATAGATAAATACCCAGAACAACGCCAATGGCCGCTTCCCCCCTTGCCACTGAGAAGGCCGCATGATCTCCAGTGGAACTACTTCGCCCTTCCCTTCTCTGCTTCTTCCCATTCTGCCAACACTTCCTCGACGACCTCCTTCTGATGCCTCTCCTGCAAACCTTCGATGAGGTCTTCGAGCCCATTGCGTTCCATAACGTCCCCCCAGGACATGCCAGATTTGCCCAGCCGATGATCGGTTACACGGTCCTATATCATGCCACGACAGCGCCGTTACGGGAAGAGACAGAGGACGCCAGTTAGTCTAAGAAACCCCAGCGTATAAAGACCAGGTAAAGAGAACGAGGAAGAGATGTGTTGATATAAGGCGCAGAACGCACCTGAGGTAAATTATACGTCCTGATCTTCTCGCTCCTGTCTGCTGTGCGGACGAGGTCGCGTCGTACGGCTCGTCGATCGGCCTGTTCTTTTGTCAGTTTGAGGTCCATGAGACGAGCAGAAAGAACTTGATAGGCGCGTCGGCGGTTCTGGATTGAGCGATGCAAATCGAGTGAACACACGATCGGACGTCGTTAAGCATGACGGGCGGAGGGATAGATGTTGCAATGAACGTACCTCATGTTGGCTTCGTTCGTCTTGCATGGAAACCGTTATTCCGGTAGGTGTATGTGTGAGCCTGATCGCTGACTCAGTTTTGTTAACGTGCTGTAGAATGAAGTCAGTAATCATGTGTGATAAAGGTCGGTAGAAAGGACATGCCTGTCCACCAGCTCCACGAGCACGCATGGTTTCGACTTTGACGTCCTCCTTCTTGTACAGTTCATCGTCTCGATCGTTGGACTCTCCGTCACTCAAAGGAAGAACCTAGCAAGATAATAGCACGTCAGCCATGTTTCAACTTCATGCAAGAGAGGGAGACACATACCACAGCGGCGACAGTGCTCGTGTGCACTCTTCCGCTGGCCTCTGTGGCCGGAACTCTCTGGACTCTGTGCACCCCACTCTCCCATCTGAGAGCCTCATAGGCACCCTCCCCTTTAACTTCCAAGATGACATCTTTCAGGCCACCAGTGTCGATCTCGTTCGCGTTCAGGACGGTCGGCTGCCACTTCCGGTCATGCGAGAGGCGCATGTACATCCGAAGGAGGTCAGAGACGAAGAGTGATGACTCGGAGCCTCCGACACCGGATTTGAGCTCAATCAGGGCAGATAGATGTGCGGTTGATGATGATGAGGAAGATGCGGAGAAGAGAAGGGATGGAAAGGTCGACTGGAGGTGCGCTGTTAAGGAAGTAATGAGGGAATGATGTTCTTCTTGGGCAAGTTCGCGCATGGAAGGGTCATCCAGAAGAGCAACGGTATCATCTAATGCCTACGTGAAGAGCAACGGTACAAATGAGCTGACCATAAAGTAGACGGGGTAAAATGATGAAGACCTTGCGAAGATGAGACCATTCGGACCATGCATCCTTGAGGGGACGGATGCCCTTGAGTTGTTTCGCGACGGAGACGTCTTTCGAGGAGTCGCCTAGTTGCTTTATGTGTATATTAAGTGGATTAACGATACAAACATGCCTGAGCACAAGACATACCTCTGCAAATTCAGCACTGACAGCGTTCACCCTCGAGCCGATGAGGGACAGCATCCGCCCATGATCTTTTTCTAGCTGTTGGAATCGGGTGAGCTCCTCATTTTTCTTCACATTCTTCTTTGCACTAGCGTATCGAGCATGTATTATCGGTAGAGTGTTATTGCTATGAGGGAGCAGCCGCAGAGGACGTCGAGTACATTGGCGGAGAGAGTGCATCGGCGAACGTTGACGCGCTCAACTTGGAATGGCAGAAAATTGGCTTATGTAAGCTGCATTGGGAAATTTGGCAAAGTCGCGCTTGTTCACTCCTCTCATCCAACGAGCTCAAGCCCAGGTACGTTGCGCAAGCCTATGCGTAACCTTTTAGTTATCGAACCTTTATATTATTCTCTGCGATCTTCTACCAGGGTGTGGCCCAATTTTCGTATTCACACCCTCAAGTGGTACGCATGGAGTGCTGTATACTGGCAGTCGCACTCATCGCACCGTTCTTTATTTCTTCAGATTTTGAAGCACCATGGACTCTCTCATCGCAAAAGCCGATGCCCTTCGCCCTCTCTCCAAACATGGCAAGTCAAAAGGTCCACCACCACACAAAAAAGCGAAGACCACACACGACTCTTCCACATCCTCCTCCACCCCACATACACACGTCTTCAACGCAATAAACTCGCAGACATCCCTCCCAAAGTCACTTCGTCCCTCTTCAAATGAACCCGCACCATCAAAAACGCATTCGCACATCGCCAACAAAAAGCTTCGGTCTCACCTCGATCGTCAGTCCGCACATGCCACTCGCGCGAAGGCACTGGTGCAGGATTCAGCGTTACTTTTGCCGGAGGATGCGGGGTTGATGCAGGTGGAGGGAGAGATGGATAGGACGTGGAGGATCAGTCAGGACGAGATTGTGAAACAGGTGGGTGCAGAGGCGGCGAAGGGGAGGAAGGAGATGGTATTGGATGGTGGGCCGTACAGGTCGAGGTACAGCCGTAATGGAAGGTGCGTTGGACCCATTTCCTTGTGCACGTCCCACTGTGTCGATTCTTTCGGCTCGTATCACCCTCGGTCCTCGTATCTGTAACGCCTGTGAAATATTTCCTCAAGTGTGGCGCAGTGGACCCTTTATAACCACTGTCATACGTCCTTGGCTTGTAATGTCATGCAGTTATGATGAGCGTATGGATTCTCGGGATCCATCCTGAGCTCTGTGTTTTGTTATTCATTGATTGAACTGCCCAACCACGCATGTGCCACAATCATGGCTACAAAAACGCTCTTCAGTTGCCGGGACTAGCGCTTTTATACTCCTCGGTTTATGATCTTGCTAACTTTGGTTTTTGTTGCCAGACACATGGCCATCGTCGGTTCAAAGGGCCACGTCGCCACATTCGACTGGCAAACGGGCACCATGCACTCCGAACTCCAATTGCAGGAGACCTGCCGCGATATCACGTATGTCTCATCCTACCATCCCTTCTACTTGTCGTTCAGATATTTGCTGACAGTTATCATGGCTAAACTTCCAGATTTTTGCAAGATCACTCACTCTATGCTGTGGCTCAGAAGAAATACGCCTTCATCTACGACCGTGATGGCGTAGAGATGCATCGCCTAAAATCGCACATCGAGCCTACCAGACTCGAATTTCTGCCGTATCATTGGTTACTCGCTTCCGTGGTTCGTCCTTCTCATTCCTCACAATATTCTCCCTCGAATCACCCTGACTGAATGCTGATCGACAGGGCAACACCGGCCACCTACACTACCAAGACACCTCCACCGGCACCCTCCTCCAATCGCACGCCACCCACCTCGGCCCCACTCTCTCCCTCGCCCAAAACCCCCACACAGCCGTCCTCTACCTCGGCCACACAAACGGCACCGTAACGCTCTGGACGCCCAATCAATCCACACCGGCCGTTCGATTGCTAGCTCACATGGGGGGCGTAGTCAGTCTTGGTGTGGATCCGAGTGGAGTCGGGGGTGGGGGCGGGAGGTATATGGCTACGGCGGGGAGGGACGGGGTGGTTAAGGTTTGGGATTGTAGGAATTGGAAGGGGGCGGTGAGGAGCTGGGGGGTTAGAGGTGGAGGCGCTGGGGGTGTGGGGGAGATTGAAGTTGGGTGGAGTCAGAAGGGGGCGTTGGCGGTCGCGAGTGGGGGGAGCGTTAATGTGCGTTTTTTATGCTGTCTATCTATCATGTCTTTGTGTGGTTTGTTGACTGACTATTTGCGCGGCTTTGTTATGCTACGTCAGGTCTACACCACCCCCTCTCTACATTCCCCCCATCCCCACCCAAACCCCCCACCTCTCTACCTCACCCATCCCATCCCCCACCGTCCCCTACACTCCCTCCGATTCTGCCCCTTCCAAGACATCCTAACAATCGGCCACGCAAACGGGCTCTCAAGCATCCTAGTACCCGGAAGCGGCGAGCCGAACTTCGATAGTAGCGAAGCCGATCCGTTCGAGGGCAAGAAAGCAAGGCGGGAGAGGGAGGTCAAGGGCTTGTTGGACAAGGTACACATCGTTATCATTATTTTTTACCGCACCGCCTTCGGGGTCGTCTAATCTGTTATTAATCGCAGATCCAACCGGACCTCATCACGCTCGACCCATCATTCGTCGGGTCGCTCGCTCCTCCGTCGAAGCTCACAACCTCGGTCGATGGGAATGGGACTCCAACCTCCGATATTCCATATGCTCGCCTGCCACGCATCGATCGTCTTCGTGTTTCGGGTAAAGTCGACTCTACCGAGGATCATTCCTCCTCTGACGATGAAGACGAGAAGGAGGAGGTCGGAGATGGTGGAGAGGGGAAGAAGAAAGACAGAGAGGAGCGTGAGAAGCGGAGGATGCGAGGGAAGGGTAAGAGTTTGAAGAGATATTTACGAAAACAGAGGAAGAACGTCATAGACCCCAAAGCCGTACGTTTTCAATCCACTTTGTTTTTTTTTTTGGGCAGCACTCGTTTGCTCATACTAGTGAATGCGAATACAAGGTTGCCATCCGTGCGAAACTGGAGAAGGAGAAGACGGAGAGGAAGAAAGCGAGGGAGGCGGCGAAGGCGGCGGAGAATGGCGAGCCTGGCGCGGGGGAGAGGAAGTCTTCGGCGCTCGACAGATTCAGGAGGGCTGGCTGAGTGCGCGCGGTGATCAGATCATGCCTTTGATTCCACGTCTAGCGTACATATCCTGCTCATGGTGTTTGAATCTTGAATCTTCTGAGATCCTCTGTAGCTATGATGTTCGTGAGAACCTTTGACTGGAAAGGCTGGCATAGTCTAAGTTTGTCTGTCAAATGAAAGGGGATTGCGTTCGCCATCGTATTTCTCGTAAAGGACGGTACCTCTGAATCAGCATGGCTACATGGACGAAACTGGACCGCATGGAAAAAATCTCTGGTCAAAGCCCTTTTCCCAAACTTGCATCCATTTACTACGTGCCCAACAGGTGAACAGGTGAAGTACTCCGTCTCCGGAGCAGTGGCGGCATATGTTTCCGTAGTTCAGGGGATAAGTAGCAGATTATCTGGCGATTGAGTCGATGCAACCGCTGTAACTTATGTCTTGACATTCTGCGGGCCATGTCGCTGCAGCCCACCATATCACCATCCGACATCCAACATCCGACAAAAACAAAGACCCATACGGATCAATGCCCGCGCTGGCCTTCAAAAACACGAAATGTCGAACAAAATATAACATGACATGATAGATATATGCCAGTGTACTCATAACAAGACCGTACGGCTGTTAGCTTCCCCAAGAAGGGTCCTAGTCTCCTGCCAGTGGGCCACGAAGAGGCCTTCGCCGGGAGCTGAACTGTGCTCCCTATACCAGTAGGAAAAAAAAAGGGGAAGGGGGAGGGGTAAAAGGGTGAGTACTTGAGTACTGGAGTCGGGAGTGAGTGGATGCATCATGCGAGGCTGATCATCACGCCCGACTCGAAACGAACAACTTGTCCGTAGCCCGAACCAAACTGTTTTAATTTATTCGGTGCGATCTGAATCATGCCTAGGCTAGGGCAGAGTACCCACCCACCCGTCCACAACGAGCGAGAAGGAGAGGTTGGAAACTGTTTATCCGGTTCATGCCTGAGGCAGAGTACCCACCCACCCACCCACCCGTCCACAGGTGACAGCTCAAGAAAAAAAAAGCGAACGAAGTTCGAACCAAACTGCTTATAATAATATAATTCGGTGCGATCATGCATCATGCCTAGGGCGGATTACCCACCCACGAACGAGAAGAAAGAAAAGAGAACGAGCGGATCGAACCGTGAACAAGTGGGATCAGATTACCCAATTAAACCATTCACGACCGCAGATTACCCACCCATCCATTCACGACCGCAACTTACCCATGGCCACCCACCCACCCATCCACGACCACGACCCGAACCCGAAACCGAAACCGACCGAACGAACGAAGGTGAAAAGGGTACTGTATAGCAAAAAGTAGAGCCGGTAGGTAGGGTGCGATCATGATCATGCATCATGCCTAGCTATAGGGCAGATTAATATTACCCAGACAGGAATCGACATCGACACGCCTTGACAGGAAGTTGCCTGACCGGTGGAGATTCACCCACCCTCCCAGGTCATCACGAACTCGAGAGACGAACGCCTCCAAACCGGTTATAATACAATTAAACCGTCACGTTCATCATTAGCATGCCATGCCATGCCATGCCTAAACGCCCGCTCCCATGGCATTTATATGCCAGTGCGTATGAACGAACGCGGCGAAGGGAACTTGAACGGGTACATACATAGTTCTTGAGCACGCGCATATAATCAACAATCCGGCTGCTGTCCGACTGGGGACGAAGTGCGGTCAGATATATGCATACTTATTATGAGCCACCCACGAGTCACCCATCCACTGCGACCCCAAACCGAACGAACGAGCGAACGAACGAACGACAGGCGGGGAAGATGAAAAAGAAAACGAGAAAGAAAGAAGTAAAAAAAAAGCACGCGGTGCGATTGGTGGCATGTCCAGGGCAGAAGGAACATCCACATACCGTGACGCCCGACTCTGAGTCTGAATCCCAAAGGGGAAGAAACGGGTCGTACTGTAAAGTGAAAAGAGGATGGGATAGGCGAACCTCGCTGGGTATATGCGCCTAGGGTGTGTGAACCGTCGGCGATGCGAGCATGCATACCTTCCCTTACCTGGGAAACATGGCTCAATTCTGAGCTGTGTGTTTGAGTTTGAGCGATGAAGGAGTAGACCTGAGTTTGCATGTAGCTCTACGCTTTAAACACAGCACTGCTTTCCTCGCAAAGTTAGACGAGGTCGGGTCCGAAGAGGTTACTATCATGAGGTGACCGGACAAGGGAAGCACGAGGCTACGAACCCTCCCGGACTTTCCCCACCATCCTCTACACAGCCCACGCCCAAAGAAAATCGAACGAGAAACAGAAAAGCACACGTCAGACCCTCGCGTACTCACCCTCCAAAGGCTGAAGCGAATGAATTTGTAGTCGCCACGGCGGCTCGACCCAGTCTCGGCTCGTCCAGTTGCGGTTCGAACACGCCAAGAAGCTTCACTTCCTGCTTAACTCGCCGCTTGTTATAAGTAGTTCAGGAGGGAAGACTGGGGGGAGGAGAGGAAAGGCCGGAGAAATTGCGGGGAGGCCAGAACGGGAGTCTGGAGGGGGCGAGTGATGGATGCGAGTCACGGGGAGAGTCGGAGGGTGGTTACAGTTGGGTAGTGTGGCAACGGGTAGTTGTGTTTATCAATGCCGGAGGAGGCAGGAGGGAGAGGGAGAGAGGTTCGGCATGGCGGGTCAACATTGAGTGTGGCGCAGCGTCGGAGGCGCGGAGAGGACGAGTGTGTTCGGTGGAGAGCGCGGAGACAGGCAGGCGTTGAATATATCGAGCAAATGTTGAGAGGGGATATTGAGGAGAGAGGACGTGGCATTGGGTGTGGCGAGATTAACGGGAAGGGAGAGCCGAGTGTGAGGAGGCTAAATATAGGCGGTTGATCCCTTTTTGACAGTCGCATTTCCCTCTTTCGTTCCTTCCTCTCTTTCCTCCGTCGCCCTTCAACAACCCCTTCGGATCGTCGCGCACCGAAGCCAGCACAAGCCAGACGAGCACAAGTCCTTTAGCATCCACTCCTTCCAACCGACGACGACGACGACGACCCTCTCCACGATGGTCCGCTCCTCGCCCCTCTCCCTCCTCGCCCTCGGCCTCGCATCCTCACAAGCTCCCTCCGCACTCGCTCAATCCGCCGGCAGCATTGAGCAGGTCGGCTCCACTCTCGTCTCTGCAATGATGGTATGTCTCTCTTTCTTTTGCTTTGCGCTCAGCCTCTTGACTTGTCTCCGTCGTCGTCCAGATGTTCCTTGGGAACGAGGAGAAGCTGTACATCCTCGACAAGGCAGAAGGCAACGCCGAGCAAGTCAACGGCCATCCTGCCTGGGCTTCAGTATGGTGCGTTCTCTTTCGTCTCTCTTTCTTTCAATGCCCCGTCGTCTTCGTGCGAACCCCGAGGCTGTGCTGTTCGTTTTCACCGGACGAGACGCGTTTGGGCGTCGTGTCCGCCTCTCTATCCCCGTCGTCCTCCTTCTCCTCGTCACCATCATCCGTATCTTTTCTCGTCCCCCCAAACACGTCCCATGTCGGTACATGTGCGTACCCGTCTTCGCTCCCGGCGTCGCCACACCGCACAGTTCTATATATACTCTGCTCAGAATAGCCGTCGTCTAAGGGTTCAGCGACTGCGACTTGTTATTCTGGGAGTGCTTTGAACTTCAGCACACAGCTCGTCCTTGTTGCACGACTCGTCGTGATGGTCGTCGGCAACCGGTCCATCATTCACCCCTGAACCTGATTCCTCGTCCACCTCTCTGACGAGGGTCCTTCCCTCCCGCCCCCTACGTCATTTCACCGTCCTAACCACTTGACATTCCAGGGACATCAACTCCAAATCCGCGACGGTCATGGACATGGAGACCAACCCCTTCTGCGCCGCCGGTATGCACCTCCCGAACGGTTCCTTCGCCACCTTCGGCGGCAACGGCGCCATCACCACAGGCGGCAACATCGGCGACGACTTCCCCGCCGGCGCCGGGTCCGCTTACTGGGACTCTACCTACCAGGACTACGACGGCACGAAAGCGATTCGAATCATCAACCCCTGTTCGTCAAGTATCTCCGACACGGACCTTAACACGGATTGTACGTGGTACGACTCCCCTACGGGACTGCAGATGCAGAAACATCGGTGGTATCCCGCGGCTGAACCCCTCGCGGACGGGAGCGTCGTGCTCGTCGGTGGGTTCGTGAACGGCGGGTATATCAATCGTAATACGCCGAATACGGACCCGGAGTACAGTAACGGCGCAGCGGAGCCGACGTACGAGTTTTATCCATCCAAGGGGGACGCGGAGGTGATGCAGTTCATGATCAAGACGTCCGGCCTGAACGCATACGCGCACACGTATCTCATGCCTTCCGGGCTCATGTTCGTCCAAGCGAACTATTCCACCATCCTCTGGAACTATACCGCGAACACGGAAACGACCCTCCCAGACATGCCTGACCAGATTGTCCGCGTCTATCCCGCGTCCGGCGCAACGGCCATGCTTCCCCTCACTCCAGCTAACAACTACACCCCTACGATCCTCTTCTGCGGCGGGTCGGACATGACGGACGATCAATGGGGGAACTACTCCTTCCCTATGATCGACACGTTCAATTACCCCGCCTCCACCGACTGCCACACCATAACCCCCGAACCCACCGACGGTTCCGACCCCGTCTACGTCCAAGACGACGACCTTCCCGTAGGCCGCACGATGGGTCAATTCATCGCGCTCCCCGACGGCACCATGCTCGTCATCAACGGCGGCGCGAACGGGACCGCAGGCTACGCAGAGCACACCGCCGAAACGCTCTCCTACAGCGACATGCCATATGGAATGTCACTCTGCGCCGCACCAGTCCTCCAACCCGCGATCTACGACCCTTCCCAACCTCTAGGCAGCCGCTGGTCCACCGCCGGACTCGCATCCTCCACCATACCCCGATTATACCACTCCAGCGCAATGCTCATGCCCGATGCTTCCGTCTTCATCGCCGGTTCGAACCCGAACGTCGACGTCAATCTCACTACCTATTTCCCAACAACCTACGAAGCCGAAATCTTCTACCCCCCCTATTTCGCCGCCACAACCCGACCTTCACCCCAAAACATACCCTCCAAACTAACCTACGGAGGTTCCTACTTCGACATCCTCGTCCCCGCCTCGTCCTACTCCGGCACCGCCAACGACGCCGCCTCCAACACCTCCATCTGGCTCATGCGCGGCGGGTTCACCACGCACGCCATGAACATGGGTCAACGCGCACTCCAGTTGAATAACACGTACTCAGTGCAATCCAATGGAAGTATCATTCTGCACGTCTCACAACCCCCGCCTAATCCGAATTTATTCCAACCCGGCCCGGGATGGTTATATGTCACCGTGAACGGGATACCTTCCAATGGGACTTACGTCCTCGTCGGTTCCGGATCCATCGAAACGCAACCTACCTCCGCCGTCGTCTCCCTTCCCACCTCCGTGCGCCTCGATTCCGCGTCGGGCACCGCGGACGGCAGCGATACCGGTTCGAGTGATTCGAGTGGGGGGAGTACGAGTCATACGGGGGCGATTATAGGAGGGATCGTGGCTGCGATCGCGGCGGTGGGTGTTCTAGGCGCGATATTTGGGATATGTTTAGCGAGGAGACGGAGGGCGGCGGCGCAGGCTGCGGGAGAGAAGGGAGGGTATGCGATGCGTTCGACTTCGCTTGCTTCTTCTGGCGGTGGCGCGGGGGCGGGGTACGCTGCAGGAGGGATGGCAGGGGGGGCGATGGCGGGGAGGGGAGCGGGAGGAGGTGGGATTAGGACGAGCGAGAGTAGTGCGTTTGTGCCGTTACAGGGAAATATGTCCACTGCGTCCTTGAACTCGCCGTACCAGGATAACGATCCGTACTCCGGGGGTGCACCACATGGGGGACAGGGACAGCAGGGGGCACAGAGGTTTGGGGACGAAGATGGGAGGGAGACACCGTTGAGCTATTATGGAGGGACGAGGAGCGGGGAGTTTGATCCGTATTATGGAGATAATGCGCAGAGGATGAGTACGAGTCAGGGGCCGCCGAGGTATTAGCGAGCGTAGCGAGCGTGTGTTGAGCGTGGGGCGAGCTGCGGGGTGAGCGAGCTGATCTGTGGATAGGGAGGGGAATGGACTGTGAGTTTGGGGAGATTGGGTGGTTGGTTGGTTGGTTGGTTACGATGGACGGACGATTTCAATTACTTTTACAAGTCTTTTGATTTTGATTGATTTTGAGCTTTGAGGCGGACCTGATCTGAATTTCTGAATTTTTTGTTTTTGTTTTCTTTCACTTACTTTTACTTTTACTTTTCTCAACACTTGCTCTTTGACCATACCCTACATACCATCTTCCATTTTTTTGATCCATTCATTCATTCGTTCGTTCATTTATTCAGACCAGAGGCAGAGGCAGAGGCAGAGGCAGAGGCAGCTATCCTACCAATCTATCTGAATCACAATCCAATCCAATCATGATGCATATGCTCAGGCGTTCCAGCCGTCCTCCGATCGTCCTCGTACCCCGTCACACTCGCCACTGCCCACCCACTTCGCACATTCGGTCGTTACCCTTTTCGCGCGCACACACACACACACACACACACTCGTAATACTTACTGTCGTTCACTGCTACCTACGCTTGCTTTTGGTGTTACCGTTACTCGAACCCTTACCGTTATCTCCACACGCTTCACGCATATCAACTCATTCAACTCATCCCACTCATACCATCCGTCGCACTCCAATCCATCACATCCCCCCTCCCGACGTTCACTTCAACGTTCACACCTGCGCATACATCCATGAATTTATCCATTATCTTCATATCCTCCATTATCTTCATATCCTCCCTCTTGTCTTTCTCGTCATCTATTCTGAGTCGTTTCTTCTCCGAATTCAGTTCTCCTCGTACGCGCCTCCGTAGTTAATTTGCACTCTCCTTCTCTTCTCGCTCGTACTTTCCTCGTCTTTCCTCGTCCGACTACTGCCTTTTTTCTCCGTTTTCTTCTACTTCTTGTTCTGATGATGCATGATGAATCTGAATCTGAATCTGCAAGCAATTCGAATTCGAAGGATGAAGTCTCGAATTGTCGGATTCGAAGTCAGAACGAAAGAGTTGAGCGTCTTCAAGTTCAGTCACGAAGGGCTCTATTGTAGAGAACTCGATCCCGATCCACTGAGTACCAGCCTCACGCCTTGAACTTTCGAAGATTTATGTCATGTCACTCAGGCTCCCGACACGCGCACGGTAATTTCTTCATTGCGGAACAAAGCCTGAACCGGAATCGGAATCGGAATCGGGCGCTATGCCAGTGGTGGAGGCCATGTTCGAGCTTAACAGCATTTACATATACATGGCTCTCATGTAGAACTTAGAACGCTTTCTCCAAACATGCAGGTGAGGTAACTTGAAATTGTCCTCAACAAGTCGAGAGGCCAAGAGGAAAGCGAGCCGAGATTTTGTGGGCCACGGTGCCACTCGGGAGTCGGAGTGCGAATTGAAAATATTGTATTGTGGCCGGGCCGCGTCTCGTCTTGGACACCGCAGACTCTCGCTCTTACAAGGCACTTGGTTTCGACTTTCGAGGCTTTGGTACTCGAATGGTTGCTCCTTGATATGCGACAGTTTGTTCTTCGATCTCTCGTGGAATGCTCTTTGTGATCATTTGCTATAAGCGGCTTTGTCTCTTGTCAGCCTGGGTTGTCTTGTCTTGTGCGGTGCCACCAGATCATGACACGGCGCGTTTCAACAGGTTATTGTCTGGTCCGAAACAATAGGGATGCAAATGGCATATAAGGCTCTGGCTCTTCGTCTCTGCTCTTTCTCTCTCCCGTCAACATCTCAGCCTCCAACCTCCACTGTCAGACTTCAGTCTGCTCTGTTCATCGTTCGCAAATTACGAGTCGTGTCGCACGACACATATCCACTATGTGCTCCTTGAATGCGTGTCTCCTCTCGGGGTTTTGTTCACTCGTGTTATCCATCACTCGGAGCGGGACGCTAGAGTGGGTGCCATTTAGCCTTCCTATGAAGGTACAGGGGGACCCTGTTGGCATTTAGGTTAGACTACACTTGTGTTCATGAGCCCTTGATTTGTGCGTGTGCAGGACCTGCGAGTGGTTAGTGTCCGTTGCTGCATCATGATCAACCAGCGTCGTGGTTGAATCTTCGGTACGTCTTTACTATTCGTCTGACTTCGGTCTATAAGGCTCATAGTATTCAAGGCCTCATGAATCACCATGATGAAATATCGTCAGGCTGCCGGTATGTTCTTTCAGCTTTACTTTTGCTCTCAGCCGGACGACACCGGAGCGTTTACGAGCACTCACTGGCTCATCCAAGCCCAACGACGCTTACTACATAAATAACTGACCAAACTTCCCCTTTCGTTACCTTCTAGACTTTTCGTCTCAAACCATCGTGCTCAGGACTGCTCGATCGCGAGATGATCTTGGTTCCGGCACTTCAAGTGATTTCACACGTCACCTTTCACCAGTAAGTCGCAGCAAGGAGTCGTTGACCCCGATGATCACTGACACTATTCCCTCTCAGTGGGTCGCACATACACCGGCTTATTGGCAGCGACGACCACGCATCAATAAGAAAAATGATCATGACGACGGATATCTGTGGCAAAGGGTACGTGTCTGCCTTCTGTGTCCCTCCGCACCATATTGACGATATATATATAGGCATCAACAAGCCTTCGACTTTCTTCACCGAGGCCGGGCGCAAGTCTGTCGCTCGCGCTTTCCGTCGCGCAGGCTCAAGCCGTCCGAAGTTCGTCAAATGTCGCCGCCGCCATCGACTTCTTGGACAATCAGCCTCCGCAACAGAGGCTGTCTTTTCCCATCACTGGGTTCGGGCAGGTCGTCAACACGTATGCCTACGTTTCCTCCTAGAGCCTCCGAGTCTGGCTGGACGTACACTCTTCGAAAGTCCTCAGGCTAAGTACTAAACACCTCGATGGGCCCGATGCCGAAATGGTACCATATGTTGCATCTATACGCCAAAACGTCACACTCACCGGAGTCTTCAAAGTGCTCGGACTCGGCGACGCCGGTCGAGGTGTCTGCTTTCTGCTTCCGTGCGGGAATGAGGATGCGTGCTCCTGAGGACGACCGTCGGCTTTGGTTCTGCAACAAACTGGCAAGGAGGTTCCTTGAGGGCTTTCTAAGAGTCTGGATTCGTTGTCGAGCTCTATCGTGCTATAAGTCTTTACCTGTAAGTGCACCAGCGAGTGGTCACGAACCCGATAGGTGTGAGATACCTAGACGTGTCGAGGGCATGCACAGGTTTACCTTGTCTCGCCGTCTTCATAGAGTATCGTCCTCCACAGGCCCTACGTCCGTCACGGTCTTTTACTATATCGTCTGTATCGACGCGCAAAGGGCTCTGAGGATTCGATCATATTCGGAGACCTGTACGACAAAGTTCTCTCTAGCGTAGATGGTATTCCGGCGTGGATACCGTCTTCACTCGATCTCCTTCAAGAGCACGAGTTTTCCGGCATGCATTTGAGCTGCCTCGCTGTGGCCTGTACGTGCCCATGTCAGGCCTTTCACATGCGACCCCCGAGGGAGAGCCGGGACGTTTCTGGGTGTACTCAATTTATCGTGGACAGCACCTCAAAGATCGCTTCCTGTTGTTTGCCCTGCTAGAGATAGGGCTTTGTCTGCAAACCCAGTTCCGTCGTCTCATCACGTCGCGAGAGGCGTTGCCGTTCTCAGGGAGTGCGTAACGGTAACAGAACCTAGCTTTCCCTGTCCAGCACAAAGGATATGGTTCCTCTGTCGTTGTGCTCTGATAACGTCCTTCTCTTTGGGTGTCCAGATGAGACGACCTGCGAGTTCGCCTTGCGGATGGCAGGAGATCACGAAATTGTTTCGTGGGCGTCTGCAGAGAATCACTACGCTCGGATTGGAACAAATATTATGTGCCCGCCATCTCATCGTATTCTTTCACGACGAATGGACTACGCTCGATATTTCTGCACTTGAGGACTCTAGCAATTGAACACCGTACGGTTACTCAAATTTTCAAACTGTCGTGCCGGAGCGACGCGTACAATTCCCGGTGGGATCTACTGGCTCAAAACAGTAGCAGAAGCTTCGGTGTGTGTTCGATCAAGGCCTACGGACAGGGAGGTACAGTGGACAGCCTGAGCCCGAGAGTAAAGGAACAGAGGAACCGCACGGGCAGTAGGATGAATTACAAGCAAGGAAAAGTAGAAGAAATGAGGACTCGAGGCCGGATGTATGAATATAGGTACTCAAATTACATGCGTTGAAATGATATCACACTGGACGTCAGCCAATCGTTGTAGATGGACTGCGCCAGGACGTGATAATACAGGGATCCGACATCACTACAGGAAAAAATCGAATGCGGAACGGTAGCAAAAAAAAATGACGAAAAAAGAGACCATGAGAGAGAACGAGACAAGAAAGGGGGAGAAGGCGAGTAGTACAGGTACATTGACCACAGGTGATGGAAAGACAACACGCTGGACGTCAGCCGATCGAGGTAGATGGACTGCGCCAGGACATGGTATTAACAAAGTACTCCGAAAGAATGTGAATGCAAACAAAAAAACGACGAGAAGAAATGAACCACGAAAATGAAATAAAGACATGAGAAGGCGGGTGATGCGAGTAATACACGCACATAGACCACAGGTGTTGAAAGTGCAACACGCTGGACAGCAGCCGATCGCTGTAGATGGACTGTGCCAGGACATGGTCAAAGAAAAAAAGAGTAGCGAAACGAGAACAGGAGCAAAACACAAGAAAAAATGGTGGTAGGAAGATTCACCAGGACGGATACGTAGACCACAGGCGTGAATAGGTAACGCGCTGGACACAGCCGATCGCTGTAGATGGACTGCGCCAGGAAATGGTCATGCATCTGGTACGAGGAGAGGAATTAGAGGGGAGCAGTGAACTTCGGTCCCATCGAAAAAGCGAAAGAAACCGGGGAGCTGATTGACGGGGTCGCAGGACGCGAGAGGTGGAACCGACCGCACGATGTGAGATCTGTATGGGCAAATCATACTGATGGTCTGAGAGCGAGGAACGCTCCCCAACACCGCCTGATCCGCGAAGATGATGACCTGTGTAGACGCAACACAGGCCTGTTCGAGACGGTGATGGTCTGGGTTGGGGCGTAGGTCTTGAGATGTCCATCGGCTGGGAACGCCTGAGACCTCCTCGCGACCACTAAGCTAAAGTGGTGCGCGCAGGATGCGGTGCGGGATCATCGCCCAGGAGGTAGGCAACAAAGCTGAGCATGAGAGGACTACGGAGGGCGGTTGTGTCTCAGGGCTGCAAGCGGCTCTTGCGGTATCCTTTACCGAGGCGGGGTTCGGGAGACGTAGAGGCCAGGTACATCCGATAAAGTCGAACTCGAGGCTGTGAATAGCGACAACTAACAAGACAATGGCGGGGTCAGAATAGGCGAAAGACATGGGACGAAGGATAAAGGAAGATACGCACACGATATGAGAAAGGCCTCACGGAGTATCAAATCCATAAAACAAGGCACTGACGCC